CCAGGCTGAGGTCTCTACCCTGACCCATCACTCCACAGGCATTTTCTGTGTGCCCACTCTGTGCCAGACACTGCACTGGGCACTGGGAGTTCATATATGAAGAAGACAAAATCCTTGTCTTCAAGGAGTTCAGAGTCTGATTGGGCAGAGGCAGGCAACAGACATGGACACAAACACCTGTGCAGCAAGAGCTGCAGAGGTGCACAGGACACAGCATGCTCACTGGAGGAGGAGCACCTGAGTATGGCTGGCTGGCTGAGTCAGAGCAGGTTTTGACTGAAGCCTTCAGGATGGGTAGAAGTTGGGCATGTAGGTTTGCAGAGGAGATACCTGAGCAAAGTCTTGGAGGCAGAAGAGAAGTTGGAGGCTTTGCAGAATGATGGATCCCTGCTGGATAGGAGTGGGCTGTCTCCCCAGAGTCTTCTCTCAATTGGGCCTTTCCGGCCCAGGGGTCCAACCACTGAGAGTCCGAGTGCTCCAGCTGTGGAGGCTGGGACAGGGCTGAGGATGAGGCATGGCCTTTTCAGTCTGGCAGCCCCCTTCAAATCCCAGCTCCACCAACTGTGTCACCTTGGGCAAGTTCAAGAACTCCGAGGCCCGCTTTCCTCCTAAAAGATGGGGATGACCATCTTTACCTCCTTGGGATGCTGCAAGGGTGGTGAGATAAACTACAGAAGGTGCCACTGTGATGCCTGGGATGTGGTAGGTCAGTGATGATAAACAGGTCCCGTCTCACTTGCCAGCTCCATTGAGAGTGGCTGTCATTGAAGTGTCAGGAAGGATTCCTGGCCACAGTCAGCTCAGTGGGATAGAGACTTGTGCTCAGTGTCCACCATAAAAAAAAGGGGGGCAAGAAGTGATGCCACCCATGGGACACAGGAAATGCTGGACTCTGTCTGACCTGGCCAGCTTCCACAGTGCCCCACCCTAGAAGCTTCAGGCCATTGCTCAGACTGGAGACAACCAGCCTTACCCAGCCAAGGGCATGGATCACATGGGCAGAGCACCAGGACCTCCGCCCAGGGAGAGCATTTAGCAAAGCCTCCCTCAGCTACCAGGAGCCTCTGCCTCCCTCACCTGTACTTACAGGTAGAGAAGAGACAGCACCTTAGCAAGTACATGGGCAGAGCACCAGGACCTCCGCCCAGGGAGAGCATTTAGCAAAGCCTCCCTCAGCTGCCAGGAGCCTCTGCCTCCCTCACCTGTACTTACAGGTAGAGAAGAGACAGCACCTTAGCAAGCCAGTCATCCCCTGGTGCATTCACTACACTCTTAGCACAAAGGATATAGAAAAGCCCATTTCAAATCTGTCTCTTAGAACCAAAGTAGGCCAAGAATGGAGTGACTTGCCAAAAGTCAAAAATTCACTTAATACTCCCAACTTTCCATAGAAATCTCTGCCACTTTTTCCAAACCATCCTTTTCTCCTTCTCCTTCTCACACCCTCCCCTCTCTTCTTCCTCCTCCTCAGCAAACAGTGAGGATATGGTGCAGGTGTCCCGAGGAAGCCCTGGTCACCAGGGCTGGCAGGACCCATGCTCACCCACTCCTCCCCAGGTAGGCTGGGACATGGTGCCCCCAGATCTCAGGAAAACCAGATAAGGAGCCGACGTTTCTTGAGGGCCACCCCCCAGCTTCGTGCCAGGTACCATGCTTCGTGGTTCACTGCTCTGTATTATGCAATTGAGACAATATTGCAAGGTGACCTGTATTAGTTCCTCTTGCCCATGAGGACTCTGAGCTCTGAGGTGAAATAACTGTCCCAAGGTCAGGCAGCTAGAATTAGGGAGAAAATCCATTGCTAAAGCTCTGCCTAAACTGTGCTGAGCTCCCACTGCTCCAAGACAAGCCGAAGGGGGAGGTGGGTGGAACTTGGATGAAGAGCAGCCAGGGTAGTCCCTCTGAAAGGTAGAAAGCCTCCCCAAGAGGGCTCAAGAGGGGCAGTGGGCCCATCTGGAAGGATGCCAAGGGCCTGGCACATAGCCAGTGCTTAGGCAATACCACTGAGTGAATAGTTGCACAGTAAAAGAAGGTATCCGGCCCCGTTCATTCACTGATTCTACAAATGTTAGCCAAGTGCCCACCATTCATTCACTTCTGTGTCAATTATGCATTCAACAGGTTCACTCGTTTACTGAGTACTATGTGCCAGGCACTATTCTGGGTGCTAGTGATAGAAGGAACAGACAGATTCCCTGCCCTCAAGGCACTTACTAATTAGTATAAGGAGACTGAAAAAAGGATATACATACAGTCCCCAATTTAGCATGGTTTGACCTAGGATTTTTTGACTTTACAGTGGTACAAAAGGGATACATATTGGGTACCCCCCTCAACTTATGATGGGGTTACGTCCAGATAAACCGTTTTTGACTTATGATGTTTTCAACTTATGGTATGTTTATCTGGATGTAACCCCATCATAAGTCAAAGAGCATCTGCACATAAATTCAGACACAAATAAAGTAAGTTTAGGTAGTGGTACATGCTGTGACAGTAAGACATTGACAAGGAAGGGAGAGGCTCTTCTAGCTATGGTGGTCAGAGAAGTCACTCTGTGGAGGCGAATTGAGATGAGACCTGCCTGGAGAGAAAGGAATAGCCACTCAAAGATCCGAGGAAATGGCATTCCAGGAAGACAGAAGCGCAAGTGCAAAGGCCCTGTGGTAGAAACAGTTTGTCATGTTCAAAGGATAGAGTTCATTAGCTGGAACGGAACCATAGGGGAAGAATGGCAAGTGATGGTGAAAGGCAGGCAGCAGCATGCCTCTCACTGCTTGGCGCTGTGCTAGCAGCACAGAGGAAGAGTTTCCAGAGATTTTAAGAGGGTAAAATGGGCAGGACTTAATGACTGCTGGAACGTGGGGCAAGAGCATGGTATAAAGGCAGAGAGACACCAGGACATAGCCAGCTTACTCTAGCCAACCTGAGTGCTTTGCTTAGGAACTGGGTTCTGAGCCTACAGCTCCTCTGGCTTCCACTTCCAGGAGGACCTGGCACTATGTAAGCCTCGCCACAGGTGAGGCCTCCCTGGCTTTGTCAGGGCACTCTTCCCTGGATGCTCTTTCTCCATCTCCACCTGCTGCTGGTCAACCGCCCAGCTAGGCTTCCAGGGTCCCTTATTGAGGCACAACACCTGCCCAGGCCCACCTCGAGGGGCCCTGAGGCCATTATACCAGCCCAGAACCTCCAAATCCTTTTAACAACTCTCCCTTTGGTTCCAAGAGCCTCTCTACACCTGCTCCGGGGCTCCTCTCCCAGACGAACTGAATGGGACCCTGTAGAGCACCCAGGCAATGTAGCCACAGAAGTCTGAAGGGCAGCTGCAGTACGAGAGGGCACAAATCACTCAGAGACGGATGGGCCATGGGTCATTGGCCAGGTGACCCACAACAACCATCCTTCAGCAGCGTGCAGCGACTGAGAGCACACGTGGAGTCGTATTGACCTGGGGGGCAGATTTAACTCCCCCAAGCCTGTTTCCTTATCCTTAGAGGGGGGACATTAATGGTACCTACATCGCAGTTATTGTCAGGGTCTAAATTAGATCATGCATGGCACATGGTAGACATACAGCGTTTGCTTTAATATTAAAAAGAGAGCAGGCTCTCCCTGCCTGAGACTTAATGAGAGCGGATCCATTGGTCATCGACACCCCACTGCCAGCAAGTCCTTCACCACTGTCCACTTGGCATGAGCAGCTCTTGGGTTCCATCATCGCCTTGAACAGATCGGCAGAGGGAGGAAGTGTCCTGCCGCACCACCGTGGATGCTCTGGTGTTTGCTGAGCCCACTGACCCCACGGCATTCAGAGCTGGCAGGCCAGTCGGGGTGGGGGTGGCCAACATTGTAGTCCCCTCTTCTCCACAGCAGTCCCAGCCATGCTTCAGCCCCCAGTTCAGTTGCAGCATTCTTTGAAGCCTTTCCAGAAAAATCCACAATCCAAACTCAGGGCCCAGCCTTCTCACATATCACTCCATCTCCATCGCTGCTCTTTCCACCACATCCACTGTGACCCTGAGACTGCCCACCTTCCTCCTTAGACTCAGTCATCCCGGGTTAATGGGGGACATTACTGCCCCTTTCTGAGCTTCCACATACTGACGAAGGCAGACAACTGCTCTGGCTGTGCAATTTGCTGCCCAAAAGACCCCGGCACCCTCACGCCATCCTCCAGCTTCCTAGCAGGGGTCGGCAGTGTGTGGGGACTTCCTCCTCCAGGAAGTGGCCTCATCACTGTCAGCAGCACTTGAACCTCCCACCACGGCAGGGCACTGGAGAGCAGGGTGAGGGGGAAGCAGAAGCCCCTGCTGGTCATTCCTCTCCAGTCACCGAGCACCCCCCTGTGATGGCAGGAGTGCGTTGGCAGTCACCAGCTGCAGGGCCAAGGCATGGTGGCCACTGTCTGCAACCAGAGCCACAGAAAATGTGTCCCAATAACCTTCCCAAACAAGCCAGAGGCTCATAATACCAGACCCAGCTAGGGCTGCCAGATAAAATACAAAACACCCAGTCAGATTTGAATTTCAGATACACAACAAATAATTTTTCAATATAAGTTTGTCCCATACAAAATTTAGGACATATGTATACTTTAAGTTATTCATTGTGTATCCAAAATTCAAATGTAACTGGGATATCCTGTTTTGTTGTTGATGTTTGCTTGTTTTTTATTTATTAGTTTGGCAGTCCTAGACCCAAAACTTGCCAGGTGTGGGCAAGGAAGGCACTAACCCCCCCACTCCCAGGCCACCAGAAAAGGAGGCAAGCCTTGCGTGACAGGACTGTTGGAGTCCACCTGAAGCCCAGCTCAGGTGGACAGGTGAGGTGAGGAAACACTGAGATGCTTTGGCACCAACGTGGCTCCTGCAAATGAACTAGAGAACCACATTTGTGTTAAACTAAACTTTATTCCTGGGCTTGTCTTCCCAAGCCTGGGTCAGAAACCAAACCACATCTCTCGGCCTGCTGTGTGTGGCCTGGTCCATCCAGAGAGGATGCTAGTAGTCACAGCCGTCCACCCAGTCGCTGAGGTCCTTGCCCTGGCAGTGATGCCTCCAGGCCTCCCTGAGGAAGGAGAACAGGGTAGAGGAGAGACCTCATCAGCTGCAGCCCCTGTTGCTGCTCAGAGAAGGAGACCATGGGCTCTAACCTAGTAGGGAGGCAAGGACAGGGGCTGGCGAGGAGGGGGACAAGGAAACTGAGCTAACAAGCAAGGAATCCCCTAGGAGAAATTTTTTTTAAAGGAAGAGAATGGCCTCAAAAATGTCATTTATCTAGCCTCCTTATTTTACCACTGGAGACACAATGCTCAAGTTCACGCTGAAGTCGTGGCAAAGGCCTGGAGCCCCAGAGTCTGGAGCCGCAGCCCAACGCTTTTTTCCTGCACCCTGCTGCTTCTGGTGACAATGATGCCACCTTCCTGTGTATAGGCCTTTACAGTTTACGCAGCACTGTCACACCCATCACTCAGTTATCACCAACCCTCCACTTCCACCCCAGCAGCCCTATCAGATAGTCTGGGCAGATATTTTGTTCCCTGTTTTCCAAATGAAAAATTCAGACCGAGGTGCACAGTTACATACCCAAGGTTCACAGCTAGTAAATGACAGAACTGTGCCCACACCCAACCCGCTTTGGCTGCCAGTCTGGGTCTTTGACATGTTGGTTACTATAGTTCATAGGTTCTTTTAGGACCGTTACCTTGTTCCAGCTCACAGCTGACATCGCGAGGAAGATAAGCAAGATTGTAAGGTCCTGGGGTCCCAAATTCCCAGAGGCCCCAAGCTTTTATAACTCATGTCCTCTATGATGTCAACGCCAAGGAGCCCAATGACCGAGAGTGCCTCTAAAGGACCTCTATACATCTATCAACCAGGAGTGATTGATCGGTTTGTTTGTGTCTTCCACTAGACTGTGAGATCCTTGGGGGCAAAGACAGGCCTCGGCTGATTCTGAAGCCCAGACCCCAGCACAGCATCTGGCACACACGAGTCCTCAGTGCACGTGTGGACAAACAAACAACACTCTGCCCGCCTTCTGGGGCCACTTCCTGTCATCAGCCTCAACCACATCTCAGGGGCTATCCATGCCATGAATTTACTCCCGGTGTAAAAAAGAGAGATGTTCCTTGATTTAACCCAGAAGGACTGGTTTCTTCCATTCCAGGGTGGTGCCTCCTAGTCCTTAAGCCTTTGGATCAGTGCCTGCAGCTGCAGTAACCCTTCCTGACTTTACGGACGTGTGTGATGTCCTGCTGAACCTGCCTCATCCTGGACTCCGTTCCTAGGCTTCAACTCTTCTCACACCAGCACATCTCCAAAACTGTAGCCATTTCAGGGCCCATCTCTGGACCCTCTCTAGAGTCAGAGTGATTTTTACCTCCTCCTTGCCCTCTTGGGCCTCAAGTCACCTGTTCCTATTCCTCCTCCACAGCCTCTCATCCCCAGCCCCTCTCCTGTCCATCATCAGTGCGATCATCCCAGTCCAAATCCTTTAAGCTCTTGCCTGGACTCCTGCAAAGCCATCACATTGGTCCTCCCAGCCTCAACTCTTCTCCTTCCTTCTGCTCTTGAGTTGACATTCAAATTTCCTTCCCGGCCTTAGCACCTGTCACACCTGTCCAATGTCCTGGTGTCCCAGCCACCTTGAGCTTTTTACCTTGTCCAGATTCTGCCCCACCCTGCTGGTCTGTCACCCAGAAATGTGAGTAAAAGGGAGGTTAGAGACACTAAGTAGTGAAACTCCCATCAAAAGCAGCTGAGAAGCTACAGGCAACTGGCTCAGAGGCACCTGTGTGAACCCATGATCTAGTCCAATGTCCCATGCAATGCTCATCTGACTCCCTTGCCTACATCTTCAAAGGCCACCTTGTTTGAAGGAGGTAGGAAAAGAGAAGGCTGACAGGGCCAGGCTCCAGAGCCCCCACCCATTCCTCAAGCAGAGAACCTCCTCTTCCACCCGTGTACATCTCAGGATTTTACATAAAACTTAGTGTTCATATAAAAGAGGCCTCAGTTTAAAAAAACAAAACTTCTTAGACCCTGGTCTAGAGGCCCTGCAGGCAGACATCCCAACACAAGCAAACCTTGGAAAAGCCAGGCCATGCTGTGTGGCTGTGTGGCCTCCAGTGAATCACTGTGCTCCCAGGAACTCAGTGTGTCCTCTGTAAATACCTCAAGGGTGGTAATTCCTACCACGGTGAGTTGTTGTCAGGGTTAGATCATGGAGCCATGGAGTCGTGCCTGGGACAAAGTGGGTACTCAGAAGAGGTTAGTTTCCTGCTGCTGTCTGCTAACATGGCCACACCACCTTGTGGGGCTCTAGCCCAAGTTACTTACCAGGAGCCCAGACCCTGGGGCTCTTGGGCTATCTTCATGGCACATATAACAGTATCCTTGAGGTTAGGATTCAACAAGTCTGGGGTGGGAGGCAGAGAAACACATTGAAGGAGCCTGGGCAGAGCTGGACATCCAGAGTCTGTCTCTCTGTTTCTCTCTCTCTCTTTCACACACACATGCACACACACACCCTCCTCCTTCCTAAATCCAGTCCTTTCTCTTGACCACTCCAAAAGCACAGCTACCACTCTGTCCCTATCCCCCTCCATCAGAAACAATTCTCCCTCCATTCCTGTAGCTCTAAGGCCAGTCTGCCATCTGGGACACAAGACCAGATTTATGGAGAACCCACCCTCATCACTTGCCCCATCTGCCTGTCCTAAGTAGGCCCAGCAGGTGGTGGGGGGGATCCACAGTCAGACATAAAGGCAGGGAGCAAACGAAACTGGGAAGAAGCCAGTGCAGGGCCCGAACCCACTAACCCTGGGCCAGGGCCCAGCCTACCGAAGCAGTACATCTTGCACAAGTTGGGGGTGCCGGGGTTGAGGTTTCTGCACCACTTTCGGCTGCTGATCTGGAAGATGCCATTGTTGGTGCTTCCGTCAGCCTCATGGTCCACAGCAGCTGTGTTGAAGCCACTTGCAAAGTAAGCAAGGCAGATCCCTGCACAGGGCAGAGCACAGGCCTGTGGGTCAGACAGTTAAGACCAGAGTGCTCACAGTGCAGGCCCCACTCTGTGGCTCTACCTACCTCACCTGCCTCAGGTGAGCAGGGCAGATGCCCTCCCACCTGCCTTGCAGATGACTCAGTCCAGGCCCAGAGGGACAAAATGACTTGCCCAAGGTCACATACAGCTACCAAACAGCAGCAGTCAGGCCTGGACCTCAGGCTTCCTGATGCCTAGCTAGCAATCTTCCGACTTTCTCATCGTTCAGCAGTTAGCAGGGCCCGAAAAGTTTGCTGAATGAATTACAAGAGCTAAATCTTTAGAGACAAGACTAGGAAGACATAAGTGTGATCTATATAAGGGGCTGGAACTAGACAAGCAATCAGTCCAGGTGTGACTGAATTTCATAGATGGCTTCCCAAAACTGCCACCAGCTTAAAAAGTTTGGCATTACTGATTTATTCAGTTTGCCTTTTCCAGATTTCAGTAGGAATGCCTGACCCTCATGGCCATGACCAAGTTTAGGGCACTAAGCTGTTCTTTTCCTTTGACTCCCGACTTCAGCAGGGGAAGTGAAGGGTGATTCCAATCTGGCTGCCTGTTGCCTGCTTCCTGTGTGTTGAACTCAGTGCCAGGTGTTCTCCACCTGTCCTCCCCTATAATCCTTGCTTTCGAGATGAGAACTCCTAAATCCACACCCCCTGAATGAGAAGGAGATGGGGTGGAGAGGAGCCGGGGCCAGCCAGGGGAGGGGTTCTCACAGTCAGCCAGGCTGTATCCCCGGTACCCATCCAGACCGAAGTCCTGGAGCGCTCTGGCCAGCTCACAGCGACTGTAGACCTTGGCCTCGCTGGAGGCAAGGGGGTTCTCACAGTCAGCCAGGCTGTATCCCCGGTACCCATCCAGACCAAAGTCCTGGAGCGCTCTGGCCAGCTCACAGCGACTGTAGACCTTGGCCTCGCTGGAGGCAAGCAGGCAGCTGAACAGAGAGATGCAGGCCAGCAGCATGACCCCAGGCAGGCACAGCCACCTTCTGGGAGCCCAGCTCCTGGCTTCCATGTGGGCCACGGAGGTGGGGCCCCCACCACTCTGGCTCAGAGCTGAGCTGTGGGATGGCTGGCAGTCCTGGTGTCCGCTCACAGATGGCTTACTCCTTGGAAGAAGAAGAGACAGGGCCTGAGTGTACCCCTGGGAAACACGGAGAAGGGTGGGCAGAAGACGAGGCTCCAGCAGTGGGTATCAACACCTTGTGCCCCGAGGAAGCATCAGCCATGCCCCCTGGAGAGCCTGGGGAGGGGCCCGAGACCAGCCCCTCCCTTTCCCATCCTGCTTCACACCACCCTGGCCCAGCAGCTGAGGGAAGAAGAGGGGAAACGGGGAAGAATACTAACACTGTGAGCTTCATACTACATGCTAGGCGTTATTTAGTCCTGAGGGCCAAGATTTCACAACTAGGAAGGGTCCAAGTTTGGACTGAGACCAAAGTTTCTATGAACCCAAAGCCCCCCTGGGATACGGCCATGAGCATGCTCCCAGAGGGCATGAGCCGAGAAGTGTCATTTGTGTAAATCAATCCCTAAGCCCAATTGGCAAGGGACCTCCCTTCCAGCACTGAGCCTCCATCTCCTGGCCTTTACTGAAACCAGGCCCCCCAGAGCACTGCTACCCTATAGCTCTCTCAAAGAGAAGCTGCTCTTTGTCCTGCACACAAGGCCCCAGGGCAGTACTGAAAGTCTCCTTCATCCCCACCACCCCTTCCAAACCACAGCCTTGCAAAACCCCTTCTCCCCTGAAGCTGCCCTGTCCTGTTTAGTTTGCCCTCCAAGCCTCTCATCACTGACTCTATGAGGCAGTCCTCAAGGTCATAGAGGACATTAGCACCTGGCTCCCTGAGCCTCGGGGCTCCTTCACCTCCACTCTGTCTCAGCCACCCACTCTCACGGCCTTGTTGTCCCTGCATCTTGTCATCGCCGATATTACCCACCTGTGCAACCTTCTATTTTATTATCTGTCTAGCCACCACTGCTGACATTTCTTCCCCTAGCCCTCATGACCTCCACCTCACCACACCTGCTCTCCACCTTCAGAGAGTCCAAAACTGAAATGATTGTGCAACCTCACAAATGGGTGTCCCAGTGGACCCTGATTGCCATTGAGGGTGACAGGTGGTTAAGGGCTGGCTTTGCAGCAAGACTTGCCCAGTTCGGCTCCTTACCACATCTCTGACTTTGGACAGTCTCTAATCTTCATTTTCTTCCTCTGTAAAGTGAAGAAATTAATAACACCTGCCTCATATGACAGTTGAAAATACATGAGAAAAGGCATGGAAAGAAAGTGGCTCTTTGCACTAAAAATAGATTCGTTGTTATTTCTATTATGCACTACGACTGGCACTAGCACTAGTGCTCGTCTTTGGTCAGCTTTCTCTCTCTCATCTCCTTCAGAGGGTGTTCAAAACCCTCATCACTGTCCTCCAGCACCCCAGCCCCTGCCCCAGAAGATGACCTTGCCTCCTGCGGCACTGGGGGGAGCAAGGTGACCGCATGTGGGACTGCACAGAGTCACTCAGACGCCCTCAGCTCATCCCCCCGTGAGGTGGCAAGCTGCCTCCACTCAATCCAGCCCGTCTTTCCCGAGCTCCAGATTTTGTCCCGTGCCTGGAGCAAGGTGACCGCATGTGGGACTGCACAGAGTCATCCCCCCGTGAGGGGGCAAGCTGCCTCCACTCAATCCAGCCCGTCTTTCCCGAGCTCCAGATTTTGTCCCGTGCCTTCTCTGAGCCTTGTGCCACCGGTCACCCCTCCTCCCCCAGCATCACCAGGACCCCTCCTCTACCTGCTCCTCCTTCCTGTGCATGTACAGACATGCTGGGGTCTCCAGCTCCAAAAATGCCTTCCCTTCATTCTTATCCTTGTCTCTACTGACCTCTTTCCCTCTCTTCTCACCCAGATTTGTGGGGGGCATTTCCACTTTCTCACCCCCAATTTGTTTTTCAGTGTGGTGCGGTTTGGCTTCCCCAGCCCCACCTGGCACCTGACTCTGCCCTGCTGGCTCCCGCAGACCCTCAGCTAGCTCTTGAAGGAGCCCTCTCTTCTGTCCTCAGCTCTCTTCTGCTGCAGGACATCCTCTGGGCAACCCTGCTGCTACCACCACGTGCAGGCCGCCGACCTCCTCGCGAGCGGTCCCCCGAGCAGCAGACCTCATACACAACCGCCTCCTGGACATCTCCATGCAAATATCCCACAGTCGCCTCAAACTAAACACGTCTAAAAGAGAACTAATGCTCCCACCAGAATCCGCTCTTCCTTACGTCTTCCCTTTCTGGGTTTAGAACATTATGGGCCAGCCATTCATCCCAGCTAGAAATATGGATGTCATTCTTCATTCCTACTTCTTCACTACATCCACCACCCATGCCCAGCCCATCAATCCCAGAGTCCTGCTGATGCCACCTGCCCTCCCAGAGCACCATCTTTCCCTAATCTCAGACCACCATCACGGCTTCCCTTAGGGTCTTCCTGTACCCAGTCTTGACACCTCTTCCAGGCTATCCTATACACATCCACCAGAGTGAATTTTTTAAACAAAAAGCCTAGCCACATCACACCCTTCGGTGGCTCCCACCAGCACTGCTCCTAAGCAGGGCCCACAGGCCCTCCTTGACCCAGCCCTGCTGCCCTCTCCCTGACTCTAAGTTCCAATAATGCCACATTGTTCGCTCATGATGATCCTGCTGTCTAGAACATTAACCCTCTCCTCTCCTTCACATGGTTAACTCTTACTCATACTTCAAGGGTCACATCAGAGGTGAGCTCCCCAGGGAGACTCTCCTGGCAGGCCCCGCTCCCAACACTCTGACAGCACTGACCTTCTACCCTCCCTCTGTCACAGTAGACTGTAATATATGCCAGTCTTTCCCATAGTGCCAGGTCTTAACTGATCGTCATAGCCTGAGAGTCAATCAGAGTTGCTGGGATGAGTGGCTGCCCAGGGGATGCTTCTTAAACTAAAGAACATGAAGTCCTGGCCACAAGACCATCGCCCTTCTCATCAAAGTGTAGGAAATGGGGGGGCAGGGGACAGTGAATCCTGCTGAGTTCTTAAAATCCATCAGACTCTGTGCCAGGCCTTTTCTGGATGTTTTCTAACTTAATCTTATCTAATCCTCTCAGCAATTCAAGAAGAATAGGATTAATATCCCTGAATCATAGATAAGGAAACCAACTTGACTGCTACCCAGTGGCTGTTTTTGACTTTTTGTAGTAAAGTGACTTAAAGGTAATTTCATCCTGAGCATTTCACAGCAGTCAGGTCTGATTCAGAGAGCGGAGGCCTGCAAGGAAAGAAAACACTTTCTCTCTCTCTCTCTCTCTCTCTCTCTCTCTCCCTGTCTCTCAGCTTGCCCCTCTCCCAGGCCAGGATCTCCCCCTCTCTCACCACCACCTTGCTTTTTCAAGCCCCTCTCTGGTCAGACCAACCCAGGGCCCTGGTGAACAGCTCTGGGAAGAGTGGGAGAGGGCTCACTTATCAAGAGTCCTCCCCACCAGAGCTGAAGCAGTGGTGACAGTGGCGGCAGCAGCAGTGGCCCCCCAGCACGCTGTGAGTCCCAGCACCTAGTGCTAGGAGAATGATGGGACGGCGGGCTCCAGACTGCAGGGGCCTTCTAGAACTCCCAGATCTGTGAGCTCAGCTTCTAGAACCAGCTGCACCCATGGAGCTATGACAAGCCCACCTGATGCCCTCAATTTCAGGGTCTAGGGACACTTAAGGGGTATTTAATCCCAACCCCTCTTGCCCACCTCTGTGTACACACACACACACACACACAACACTTTGAGGATGATTCTTCCCGCCCAACAGAGCCTCCAGGTGACTATCCAGGCATGACAGCACATACCCACTGTCTCATCAGGCAGCCCATCTCACCGTTGAACTCTTTGACTGGCAGGAAGTTCTTCTTCCTTAATGCTAAGCCATCTGGATGATGACTGTTCAGTGTGGACAGGCCCGGGATGGAGGTTATGCTGTTAACCCTAAAGCCTGAGGGACAGAGAAGTGAAACAAAGGGCTTCTGATCCCCATCCACATCTGCGCTGCACAGCAACCCCTGCTTGGAGGTCATGTGGCACAGCAGCTAGAGCATGGGCTTTGGGGTCAGGCTGGATGACACAGAGAAAGTGGCTTAACCTCTCTGTTTCCTCAGTTCTCAAGTGGGGATGACAATACAGATGGTCCCCAACTTGCCAAGGTTCAACTTACAATTTTTCAACTTTACGAAGGTGGGAAAGCAACACACATTCAGTAGAAACTGTACTTCAAGTACCTATATAACCATTCTGTTTTTCACTTTCAGTACAATAGCCAATAAATTATATGAGATATTCAACACTTTATTATAAAATAGGCTTTGTGTTAGATGATTTTGCCCAACTATAGGCTAATGTAAGGGTTCTAATCACATTTAAGGTAGGCTAGACTGAGCTGTGATGTTTGGTAAGTTAGGTGTATTAAATGCATTTGCAGCTTTTGATATTTTCAACTTAACGAAGGGTTTATCAGGATGTAACCCCATCATAAGTCAAGGAATATCTGTACCTGCCTCACAGGGTACTAGGAGGACTCAGTGAAACAGCTACAAAGTGTTCAGTACCTCAGGGGCTCAATAAATAGCAGCAATTACAGAGCAAAGCACAGCCATAAATATGTTTCGCTGCACCATGTTGACCCTACCAACCTGGACCCACACCAGACCAACCGAGTTAGAATCTTTACAATCAACAGTTAGCCCAACATCATCAGCATCAGTATTTCCTTTTCTTTTCTTCTTCCTCTTCCTCTTCCTCTTCTTTACTGTTGCAGCGAGAACACTTAACAGGAGATCTGCCTTCTTAAGAGTACAGTATTTTACTGTTGACTATAGTTACAATGTTGTACAGCAGATCTCTACAGCTTATTCATCTTGCTCGACTGAATCTTTATGCACATTATTTAGTACATCTGCATTTCCCCCTCCACCCCCAGTACCCCAGTACCACCATTCCACTTTTTGATTTTATGAATTCGACCACTCTAGGTACCACATATGAATGGGATCATTTGTC